CTGGGGAATTCTGGGAGTTGAAGTCCACACATCTTCAAGTGGCCAAGGTTGAGGAACAGAGTTATACAACACAATAGCTGGATTCACACAAGATGGTAAGCCAAACCCAAACAAGATACATTATGGTTTAATGTAGTTTGTGAATGCAAGGTACAGGACAGTCTATATTTATTTAATCTAGCTGCCTGGATTGTTGCAAGGGCAAAACTCTACACCCTTCATATATGTCATCCTTACCTCCTGGCCAATTAATTGCTTGCTTCAAGTTGCTTTCTACTTGGGACTCTAGAATAATGCCCCCTCCCCCCCAAAAAGAAACAGCAAATAGATATGGTAGATCTTATTTTGAGCAATAAAAGCCCAAGAACTGGGACAGCCTCAAGGCCCCATAGCAGTAAACCTTTAGTTGCCATGCATCTCAGTAGAGATTAATACTGTGGCTCAAAGCCACCACACTCTTCACAAGTGGCATTGCCCCATATGGAAATAATCTGCTAGGACTGAACTTGTCTGAATGCCCCCCCGCCACATTCCTGCCTTCCCTAAGGGAGAAAAAGGCTTCTTCATGAAGCAGCCCACAGCCCTTTCTTAACTCAGTTCAGGCTGCAGCTTACTGGTAGAGCACCCACTCTGCATGATTTCAGGTTTCAATGCCTGGCATTGCCAAGTCAGGATGGTAAAATATCTGCCTGAAACTCTAGAGGTCCACTGTTTCACACAACACACCAAGCTATGCAGTGATTTACTGTGTGAATTGATAGTTCATGGCTTAGTATGTTATACAAACCCAGCCAATTGTAGTTTATTCAATAAATCAAGTACATAGGCTAAAGTTGACAATACTGAGCTAGGCAGACCAGTGGTCTGACTTTGGATAATGTTACTTTGATAATCCAGGCACGGCCCTATTTAAAGATCTCTTCCACCACCGAGTGGCCCAACAGTTCACTGCAATGTTGAGTGATCAAAGAAAAAACAGCCTTGCCATGCCAGCACAGGCAAAATTAAAAGAATAGAGTTGTGTGCTATAATCATGGAGAAAGAGGCTGATGCAGAGAAGGAGTGCTTACATTTCTGCCTCAAGTATAAGCACAAGGATCATATACAGTGGAAGAAATTTCTATACCAAATAACAGCATTAGACAGCGTTTTGCCACGCTTCTCAACTGGGGAAGAAAGAGAACAGTACAAGCTCCTTTTCTGCCTCTGCTCCATCATTCCCTCACCATCTCTCTGAGTCCCTATGAACATTAGCATGGAGCAAAAAGAGGAAAACTCTGCAAACCTGACAGATGCCTGCAGGTACGTGCCTCTGCAAAGGCAGAAATGGGTGCAGCTTTGTGTCATAGGGCGGCAGCCAATCTACTGCCCTTCTTTATGATCAAGACGAACAGAGAATAATGGTTCTGTGAACCCTGGGTTTGAAGATATTGAGCAGCATTAAAACCAGATTTTCATCCAGCACAAACTTTCTCAGAATAAGGTACCTGTTCCAAGCAAAAAAGAGACAGAAACCATGGAAAATGTGGAATTTAACAGGCAAGACTGAGTTCTGCCCACCAGTTTTAAAAAGTATTCTGCCATGGGCAATCTACCTTCTCAGCCATTAAAAGGATCTGCCACCTACAAGAAATGGGTTCAAATATGTTTATGTTGCCTTATTTGCTTCTCCTAGTTATTAAGGTTAAGTTATTAAGCTATTAAAGTTATTTAGAGCCAGTTTGGTGTAGTGGTTAAGGCACCAGGCTAGAAACCGGGAGACCCTGAGTTCGAATCCTGCCTTAGGCACAAAGCCAACTGGGTGACCTTGGGCCAGTCCCTCTCTCTCAGCCCTAGGAAGCAGGCAAGGGCCAACCACTTCTGAAACATCCTGCCAAGACGACTGCAAGGATGTGTCCAGGCAGTCAGCAGGAGTTGAGACTGCCTTGAAGGCCCACAAACAAACAAACGTTATTAGGGATGGTAAGGGTCTACTTTACAGGTGGCTTAAACCTTCCCACCACTGTTTTATTCAGCCATTGGTCAGAGTTCCAGCCTTTCAGCAAGCATTGCTCAGACCCACCCAAGAGCTAGAAGCTAGCTTTTTAACAATCAGAGGTTGAATCGAGCACTTAAAGTTTTATTATTTGCTTTTCATGTGTTTCTACAAACTTACGGCAATCTCATGAAGCCTTAAGAATAACCAGTTCTCAAAGAGAAACAAATATGAAGCACACCAAATGCATTAGGAGCAACGATAAAAGAGAGGAAGCGAAAACAAGTGTCCAATGCTTAAAAGTTCCCTTTATGTAAAGAAAAAAAATATTCATTCCATTTAATTTCATCTAGGCAGAAACAACAATCTGGTGATCTCCAGATGTGAAGATCTGAATTCCCAGCTTTTGGATATGTGGTCTGGGAACTTTAGAGGGTGACAGGTTGGGAAAAACATGGATCCAGATACATTTGCAGAGGTGTTGATGAGGTATTAGGGAAATCAATATTTATTAAGGCCATATTTTTGGCTTTCAGTTTTCATATACATATACATAATATACATAAGATAAAGGCAATTTCACCCCCATGGAATGAATTTGTTTCTCTAATCTGTTAGGCATTAAACTGTGCAGAAAGAATCTCGGTTAAAATCATTTAAATGATTTCCAACATTTGGCATCTTTAAGGAAGACACAGTGCTTTCCCTGAAAGCTTAATTGTTCAAGAGATGCACTCCATTACAAAAGTGAGACGCCTCCATATCAGCTTCCCACACGGAAAACTCTGAGAAAGTGGGACAGCCAAAGGAGGATAATTCTGAGCTAGGTTTGCGTGTTTGCTTTCTTTTAACATGACAGGCAGACAATTTCCTTCATCTTTCCATCTCATGGAATTTTCTAGTCATTATCCACGTGGAGGCTTCCACACTTCCTTATTTAGCATCTTACTTCATTTACCGCGAGAGTGTAAACAATGCAAAGGAAACAAATACTTCCCAAAGCCTTCGCAGTTGGTTACCCACCTGAACAGAGAACTTAAAGCATGTGCCAAAAGAAAGGGAATACAAAACAAAACAACTGTGTTGAATTTGTGAGCAACCGACTAGTTATCCCAAACTGGCAACTCAGTTAAAAAGTTA